GGGGCGGGGCGGGACGGATCACGTGACGGGCCGGTCGGGAGGGCGCCGTGGAAGAGGCGTAAACAAGCTGGGTCTGGCTGGGTGTGGTTGGAGCGCTCCCCTACCTGTGCTTCGTGAGGCTTTATCCCTTCGCAGGACTGGTGCCCCCCCATGGTCCCACTGTCCGCGGCCATGGAGCTCCGATCCTCTTCCCAAAGAGCCGCTGGAGCCCGCGTGGGTGAAGGGCCTGCTTTTGAACCTTAGGGGAATTGCCGCTCGTCCAGGAAAAAAGTGCGAAGCTGGACCAGGGCAGTCCTCATTTCTTGCCAGAATAATTGCAAAATCCCGCATCTGGGACTGCAAAAACACCCCACACTGTCTTCAGCCTTCAAGTTGCTGACATTTCACACCTAGTGATGTATTCTGTGGAAAACCAACCATAAGTATTGGCAGCTCTAAATTCAGAACACCTTGATTCGTTGCCTGCTCTGCTGCTTCCTGGAAGTAACAAGGCTTTAGGTCTTCTAAGCCTCGTTTTCTTCCTCTGTGAAATGGGCATAAAAGCAGTTGTGTAGTGAGGATTCAAGGAGGTCAAGTATGGAAAGTGTCTAGCACACAGCCTACTCCTAGTAAATGCTCTGTTGGTGGTGGCCTTTATCATGAGGCAGGATTTGATCAAAGTTCCGGCACTGATACAAAGCAGTGTGAGAGAGAGGGCCCAGCGAGGGGAAGGCTAACTACGGTGTCTGAAAGGCCACCTTGAAGGAGGTAGCAGGCAAAGTTTTAAAAGAAAGGTGGGTTTTACGAGATAGAAACGGAAGAGGCGGCTGGGAAGAGAAAACCATTTCAGGCAGAGGAAACCACAGGAACATGAACCTAGCAACAAGAAAATTCTGGGTGGGTTTTGGGAATAACAAGTTTTGTCATGGGAACCAATTGAATCACAATGCAAGGCAGGGCATGCATGGTTAAAGGCCAGGTATGAGTGGCCCGTGCAGTGAGTACTGTCAGAACTCCAATCAGACCCATGATGATGGGCTAGACAGTATGGTGCCTTTGTGGGAATTAGAAAATAGGGGCTAGGGCGAGCTCGGTGGCTCAGCCTGTAATCCCAGCACTTTGGGAGGCCGAGGCGAGTGGATTGCCTGAGCCCATGGGTTCGAGACCAGCCCGGGCCTCGTCTCTACAATAAAATTAAAAATAGCTGATCATGGTAGCATGTGTCTGTAGTTCCGGCTACTGGGAAGGCTGAGGTGGAAGAATTGCTGGAGCCCAGCAGCTCGACGCTGGGGTGGACATGAGCATGTGTGCCACTGCACCCCAGCCTGGATAAAGAAGTGAGACTCCAACTCAAAAATAAAAAAACAGCTGGGCTCGGTGACTCAGCCCGTAATGCCGCGCCTTTGGGAGGCTGAGGTGAGTGGATTGCCCGAGCCCACGGGTTCGAGACACGCCAGGGCAGGCAAACATTTCTACAATAACTCAAAAAATTAGCCGGGCGTGGTCGTGCACACCTGTAGTTCCAGCTACTTGGAAGGCTGAGGCGGAAGGATCGCTGGAGCCCAGCAGGTTGAGGCTGCGGTGGCCGGGAACGGCCACTGCACTCCAGTCTGGGCGACAGAGATTCCAACTCAAAAAAAAAAAAAAAACAGCCGGGCTTGGTGGCTCAGCCTGTAATCCCGCACCTTTGGGAGACTGAGGTGAGTGGATTGCCCGAGCCCGCGGGTTCGAGACCCGCCTGGGCAAGCAAGACCTCATCTCCACAATAAATCAAAAATCAGCTGGGCGTGGTAGAGGGTGCCTGTAGTTCCAGCTACTTGGACGGCTGAGGTGGAAGGATCGCCGGAGCCCAGCAGGTCGAGGCTGCAGTGGCCGGGAGCGACCACTGCACTCCAGTCTGGGCAACAGAGTGAGACTCCGACTCAAATAAATAAATAAATAAAATAGGAATTTAAAAATAGGGGCTGAGCACGGTGGCTCACACCTGCAATTTCAGCACTTTGGGAGGCTGAGGTGGGAGGATCACTTGAGCCTAGGAATTTGAGGCCAGCCTGGGTAACATAATGAAAATAAAAAAATTAAAATTAAAAAATTAGCTGGGCGTGGGGGCATGCACCTGTAGTCACAGCTACTTGGGAAGTTGAGGCAGGGAAGATCCCGTGAGTCCAGGAGTTCAAGGCTGAACCATGATTGGGCCACTGCACTCCAGCCTGCGTGACAGTGAAACCCTGACTCAAAAAAAAAGGAAAAAGAAGTTATCCCTAGGCTGTGTTTTGGCCCCTATCCCACCTAACCCTCCTGGGGCCTTTGAGCAGTAATCAACCTTTATAACCGTAGGTCTTGGGCCAAGCAGGCTCATGAGGGAGGTGGGAATTGAGCTAGGGAGTCACTAGTCTAACACAGTCACAGGGGCAGTTGTCAGAAGACAAGAGTTCTGGATTCAAACATGCTAGAATTTGAATGTAGATTTCAGCCATGATACTAACTGAGTGAGCCTTAATCTCCTCACTTGCAACTTAGGGGTCATCATAAAGGGGCTTTGGGATGGATTCAGTGAACCATTAAGATATAGCTGGCATAGAGAGAGACTCTTTGGATTAATGTTAGTTTTGTTAACTGTGTTTGCTGTCAATGTCCATCACTCCCAGGAGATAGTCCACCAAACACTAAATTCTGCTTGCTTGGGGTCCAGAAATAGGAAAGGTTGAGGGAGAAGAGAGAGGATCTGGGTTCTCTCAGTTCCAGTGATTTACAAACCATTTTACAGGAACAGACTTCTCTCGTTGTGTTCACACCAGGGTGGGAATTCAAATGCATTTTGAGATTTTTTAATTTTATTTATTTTTTGGAGTCAGAGTCTCACTCTGTTACCCAGGCTGGAGTGCAGTGGCACGATCACAGTTCACTGCAGCCTCAACCTCCTGGGCTCAGGTGATCCTCCCACTTCAGCCTCCTGAATAGCTGGAACTATAGGTGGATGCCACCACGCCCTGCTAATTTTTGCATTTTTTGTGGAGACAGGTCTCGCTATGTTGTCCAGTCTGGTCTCAAACTCCTGGGCTCAAGCAATCCTCCTGCCTTGGCCTCCCAAAGTGTTGAGATTACAAGTATCATCCACTATACCCAGCCGTGGTCAGAGATTTTTGAGACCACCAGTGACTGGGAGAGGTAAGGGTGAAGAGTGGAGTGGGGGGGAGCGGCACTGCTCCAGGGCTCTGACCCATGAACCCATCGCCCCAACCTTGACCTCATCCTGCCAGAATGCACTCTGCCATGGAGCAGTGATATACATTCGGAGCTCGTCAACTGCTGGCTCCCCAGGGGGCCATAACCACACTGTTACTGTTAAACAGTGTCTGGAAGAAGAATGGTAATTGTTACCTCAATATGGACCACCAGGGACTGTGAGAAGAGGCTGGAAAGGACTGGCAGAGGCAACCCTACCAGCAACTCCTGCCACCTACCAGTCTGAGCCACCTAGATATTTTCTGCTTCTCTGAGGTTGATTTTTGCCACTTGCTAAATAAATGCTAATCAGACGACTGCCTTCCACATACTATCCTATCCTGCCCCTCCCTGTGACGGGCTTCCTGGCCAGACGGAGCATGAAACGGCTGAGCCACTAGGCAGGCTGTGCTGACTGCATGCATGTGGTGGACATCTGTTGTATTTGTCTGTGCAGCATCTTCCCTCCGCCCCTCACCACCTTCTGAGAAGGTGAACTGCCCAATTCCAATTCCTCAAGCACTGCTGAGCCTGGGCAACATAATGAAAATAAGAAAAAATAAGCTGGGCTCAGTGGCTCAGCCTGTAATCCCACACCTTTGGGAGGCTGAGGTGAGTGGATTGCCTGAGCCCGCGGGTTCAAGACCCGCCTGGGCAGCGAGACCTCATCTCTACAATAAATCAAAAAATCAGCCGGGCGTGGTAGCGCGTGCCTGTAATTCCGGCTACTCGGAAGGCTGAGGCGGAAGGATCGCCGGAGCCCAGCAGGTCGAGGTTGCGGTGGCCGGGAGCGGCCACTGTACTCCAGTCTGGGCGACAGAGTGAGAATCCAACTCAAAAAAAAAAAAAGAAAAGAAAAAAATAAAAATAAAAATTAGCTGGGTGTGGGGGCATGCACCTGTAGTCACAGCTACTTGAGAAGTTGAGGCAGGGACGATCCCTTGAGTCCAGGAGTTCAAGGCTGAACCATGATTGGGCCACTGCACTCCAGCCTGCGTGACAGTGAAACCCCGACTCAAAAAAAAAAAAGGAAAAAGAAGTTATCCGTAGGCTGTGTTCCACAGTACTACCCCTAGGCCACAGCAGGTGGCGAGTGTAGCCAATTTGAGTTGCCCATCATTCAGCCAAAGTGATTGGCCCACTACTGGACATGTGACTTGACCTGAGCCAATCAGAGTACTTCTCTGGGTCTTTATATATGAAAGCTAAGAGTGATATTCTCTGGGGTCATTAAACTGGGATGAGAAAGCTGTAGCCTCTCCCTTTCCCTGTCCTACAACAAGGTGTGTGAGAAGTCTGATCAAAAGCTGAAAGAAACACAGACAGAGACAGAGAAATGCACGTGATGGTCTACTGCATTTCTAGGGTTTCTGAGACAAGCTTTTTTCTTGTCTTCCAAGTTCCATGAAGTAATAACTGTTTCTGCCGATGCTACTCTCAGTTGGGTTACTGTCCCTTGCAAACAAAAGGCCTTCTGGATGC